GGGGGGGCAGTGCGGAGCACCTCGCTTCTGCACTGTGCAGTGAGCTGCCAGCACATTTTTTCCAAGGGTAGTTTTTGGCCTTCGAATATCTTCTGTCTCATCTCCTCTTGTTGTGTTGTGTTTTGTGTTTTAATGACCATAACTGAAATAACGATGATGTTGGCTGGCGAGCAACTTTGCAGATTTACTGCTTAGACACTTCAGATGGCCGTGGGACCGGCTCTGATTTCTGGGAACGCTTCCTTCCTCCTTTCTCAAGTTGCTCTCCTGATGGGCAGCTTTGTCCACCTGGAAAGGCCCAAAATCCTTAGGAATCTGGAAAAACACATGGGATTTCTTTTTATGCTCTCCCCGCAACTTCTTTGTGCATGGTTCCTCATTGCAGAGGCTGTTGAGCACCCTGGGATGCAGCAGGGTATGGCAGACACAGCTTCTGCTGGGTGCTCATCTCCTGCTTGCCTTGCACCAATGTGTACTCATCTCCTCATGTCCTCCGCTTCCCTGCCTTTGCCAGAGCAGCCTTCCCATGCACAGGTGCAGGAACAAGCTTCTCCTCCCACTGGAGTTGCTCCCTCATAGCTGTAGGTCTTCTTAATTCATTAAGAGCTGATTGATGTTATTATCAGCTCCAGCAGATGGAAAGGGAGGAGCTTGAGGTCTTCTTCCTCAATAGGCTGATGGAAAAACAGTTTGGAAGTCACTGCCTTGTTGTACTGGCTCCAGCGGTGGAACAAGTTAGCAAACAGGCTCCATAGGACTGGATCTTGTTACTGTTTTCCTTATGTACTAATGCAGTAAGTATATGGCATTTTAGCAGTACTTCTATTTCTAAAGTTCTGCTCCCTTTTTCCATTGTATTTCCCTGTCCCAGCTCCCGTCCCCAGTCAGGATGTTCTGGTCAGTTGAAGGCAGAGGCAGCGCTGCATTCTTACTCCTAGAGCAAAACTTCCCTTAAAAGGGTGGTGAAACAGAAAGATTGAATTGCTCGCATGAAAATGTCAGATTACACCAGTAACTTCAGTGATAACAGTGCCGGATGTTCTGGGCAAACAACAGCTGGGCAAACAAGTCGCGTTCTGTCTGTCTTGCAATAAAATTGTCTTGGTCATCTCAGGCGTGCACTTTGTTTTTTCCCCAATGCTTCACTAGCTGGCAAACAGGAAAGGACTGCCACTGCCCTGAGCACAGCGAGAGAGGGTCCAGAGGGGCTTTCTGCCTCAGTAGTGCTGTGACTCGGATCTGTGGCATCATTCAGTGAGTCTGGATTCACCTCACAGGGAGCTTGGCGCTAACGTTTTACCTGGGTTAGGTGGCCGCCAGCGTTTGATCCCAGATACCATTCCAAGTTTGTGTAATGTCTCTAAAATGCAACATTTCAACTGCTTTCTTACTGTTCTGTTTTACGCAAGAAAATCTCCTTATCTCTTGGTGATTTCCAGTGGATAAGAAATCAGCTCAGGACTTTTGCCGTATCTTGCGTTTAAGCGCAGCACAGAGCGGAATCAAGATGACTCGGTTGGTAGCGAGCCTTTTACTGCAGTCATCTTTTGAGATCTGTGTTGATAGCTACCCCAAATTGTTTGCGTCTCACAGTTAGACAAGAATTGTGGCACTTAGGAGATGCGCTTGTTAGGGGATGCTTTTCTTTCCCTTCCTTAGGTAAGTGAAGAGATTTTCTGTTTGCTGTGCGGAGGGGAAGATGATTGCCAAAGCAATGTGGTATCTGTTGGAGACTGGGATTCCTGCTTGGGTGTATTTGCTCCAGGAGCTTGGGTGGCATCGTGTGCTCTTGATGTCCCTACCTGCTGGCTGCTAGCGAGCGCACTGTTGCACCAGTTGGGGCTGATTTACTGCAGCCCCAGCACTTGTTCACTTGTGGAAGTGCACGCATGTCGTGTAGATTTAGGCGGTAGCTATGGCAGTCGGGAGGAATGCATGAGAAGAGCTTGGAGATGTCAGAGCACCCGCTCGCGAGGAGAGGACCACATTAGTAGAGCTGCTGGCTAGCGGTAAATAGTCCTGGCACCCTTGTTTCGGGACTTGGCAGCAGCAGGAGTTGAACTGAGTCCAGCTTTACTCTCTACTGCCTGTTCAGTAAGTTGAGGACAAGGCAGATGATTAAGGAAATGTGGGGAAACTGCTACAGAAGCTTTTGGAAAGATAAGAGACTTCGGTCTCCATGTCTGACAGTCTGGCACTTTTCACTAGCATTGAATTCACATGCAAATCAAACGCAACATCTACTCCCACAGGAAGCTTTATTAATGTACAGGCCTGCTCGTGAATCTGTGTGCTGATGAGAGTTATGGGACCGACTTTATTATCAAATTGATTTCCCTCTGCGTCATCACTGGTGTGCCGTGTGGCCAAGCAGTTTTTTGAATGGAGCTAGCTGTCCTTCACACCTCCCATTGTGTGCAAGGGGTGTGGATGAGGCTTCGAAGGGATGGGGTAGGTGTACTTGTTGCAAGATGAGAAGAAGTGAGCAGTGTAATCCAGAAAGGATAAGTGAGTTGGGATCCCACTGTAGAACAGTAGTTTGACGCAGATGTTTGGTGAGAATGAGATCTGAGCTGCAAACAACCTTCCACATCTTAAACCTAAGCTCATCACAAGCTTAGCTTTTATTACTGCCGCTTATTTATGAACAGCATTTATGAGCAGCATCTTGAGAGAAAAGCTGAGGGAAATGCTGTTTCAAGCCACAATCTGCCAAGCTGTGCACTCACCCACACCTCTGTCATTCTCCCTTTGCTGCTCCTGTCCATCCACACCGCTCCTCACAGCTGCCTCATCTGTCCCTGCGTTGTGCATGGCTGTGCGGGCGCGACAGGAGTGGGGCAGAGCATTGAGTGCTCCCCCAGTTCCTCACCAGCGGGCAGAGATCCACGCTGGCCTGGCCAGCTCCAGCAGAAAGTAGGCATTTCTTGCACGGCTACTCATTTCTGGGAATCTTCAAACATTTCTGGCAGCCAATTTTAGTTGTGCAACCTCTCAGCTGCCAGAACGGATAGAATATGATCATATCACATGAAATGCATGCAGGGTCTGCTATAGCAACTGTATTTCAAAGAGACAACACATATGGTGGCTGGTTCTTTTTGGAATAATATCTATAAGTTGATGATGTTTTATTCAAAAAGGCTGTAGCTTGAAAGGTTACGGATGTTCTGATTGTTTGGTGTATGATTAAAGAAAGGCTTCCGTGGTTTTTTTGGCCTGTTGAATCCAATTACTGGGAAGTAAAATGATCATTTGATTGCACATTTACCTGGAATTATTCTTCTGCAGAGCCAGTCTTAATAATATATAATAACATGTTGCGTTTGTGCTGTATAGAGCTTCTTGTCTGAGCAACTCAGAGTGCTTTACAAGTATTCATTAATTAAATAAGCCATACAACACCCCTGTTAAGTAGGTGAGTATTTGTTGCCCATCCCTTTACATTTTGTAGCATTTTTTTCCTGCCCACCCTTGAAGCTGCCTTAACAGCCAAATAAGCTAATTCAATGGAAATAGCGTTTTTTAACGGCGCTTAGTGCTTTCAGCATAAAGGCTTCCTTGGCTGCCTTTTATTGCACCATGTTTGAGGTGCTGCGGGTGCACGAAGCATCAGCTGCCCACCTGGAAATGCCGAGTCCGATTTCAGCTTCTGCAAGCCAGGCTCTGTTGGGAAGAGGCTTTCTGATCCAGCGGAGACTTGTCATTACGTTGGGACAGGCGGTGTAGCTGAGTGTGGAGAGGTCTTTTCCCCAGCTCCCTGCCACTGTCAGTGCTCTGGCAGCGCAGCTCCGGGTGCCACGTCCCATCAGAAGCCAGGCTGTGTTGTGGGATGGCGGCTCCAGGCCTGCAGGCCCTGCAGTGTGCGCCTCATCCTCAGGGCCACGCTGTGCTCCACATGGCCACGGAGCACTTGGCAGCTCGGAGATGCACAAAGCATATCTGACTCCTTAATTAAGTAGGTATTAATTAAATCACTCGGAGAGCGTACACAGTAGGAGTGGGGAAGGCTTTTTCCCTCCTTCCATGTAGGCATCTTGCACAGGGACTATTTTTCTTGTTTTACATTAATGAAGTCTTCAGCCTTCCCACTTTTCCACCTACGCATGTACTGAACGTCTCCAAGGAGACTAAGGAAGCCCGCGTCCGGCTGGTGGAGCCTGCAGGAGCCAAGGGCTGCCATCTCACAGCTGAGCCTTGGCTGGGCCACGGCCCACCATGCAGAGGTCAGCCTCGTCTTTTGGTCCTTTGTACCGGTCCAGAGGAGGATGTACTTGCACCTTTTCCTGCTTTCCCTTGGGTTTCACCTCCTCTTGCTATTTTTTCCCCACCTGATGAGGAACTTGGGCCTCACAGAGCAGCTGGCTCCTGTGCTTGGCACTGCTTTTCTCTTCCTTTGTGACGAACTGTGCAGAGATCTACCACTGAGTGATGCACTGCTGGTACTTTTGGGTGCTGTGTCCTCATCCCTCCATCCCATAACACTGCAGCGTCCCTTTGCTGCTCTTCCACAGGTCTCCTGCCATAGCTTTCTAGAAACTTCTCTGCCTTCCTGTGCTGCTCAGGAGAGCAGGTGGTGATACGTGACTGCCCTTGTGTAAACCTGCCTTGACTCCTGCAGAAGATGAGCATGAAAGCCATTGGCACACAGGGCTGCTAGGGAGCACACAGGGCTGTGAGCTGCTCCAGAAGCAGGGTGTCAGTAACCCAGTGGTGTCACTGCTGGGACTTCTGGGGTTACTCCTGGTACCCACACAGAAGCTGAACTTGAGGTGCTGCTGTTCTTCTCCGTTGTCAAAATGGGAGATGCATTGGGTGGATGTCACTTGTTGCGTGTGGGTGCTGAGATGTTTTCAGTGCTGCAGTGTTTCCTGGGTGGATGCGCTTTGGGACTGTTGTGGTGCTCAGTGACCCAAAGGGTGTCTTGACCAAATGCTGTGCCGGTAACTGCCCACCTCCTCTCTGCTGCAAACTCAGTTTTCAAAACTCTTTCCTCACAGGCTCTCCAGGTAGCGCGGCAACTTCTACTACAACAGCAGCAGCAGCAGCAACAGCAGCAACAACAGCAGCAGCAGCAGCAAGTTAGTGGATTAAAGTCTCCGAAGAGGAATGACAAACAGCCGGCCCTGCAGGTAAGGCGGCCCTCGTGCTTCATGGGGGGCTCTTGCAAATGGAAGCTGAGTGGATGCTTTCACTGTGAGTGCTGGCATGGGACTTCCAGGAGCACTTGGTTTTGAACCAGTTTCCTCTAGGGGAAGTGACAGCAGCTGTGGCTCATGTATGCGGGAGCAGCTAGATGCTCTTGAAAATCCCACCCATGATGTCTTTACAGATCTGCAGTGTGTACTTCTCCTAGTGTCTAGTAGGGGGGGGATTATTACAAAATGGAATAGCTTTTGTTACAGTGTCAGTTCGCATAGGAGATTTGCGTTAACAGTTCTGTTTGATTGCTTTTCAGTTTGTAGTCTGTGTTCACTCAAACCGTTGATTCGCTGTGTCGAGGATATTGGGAAAATGTTAGGATATCATATCATCAGTGTGGTTTTTTCCCTTTTATTTTCTGCTGATTTATGGACATCTTCATGAGCAAAATCTGAATATTATCAGGCTTTGCGCTGTTATGAATTCGGAAAGCTAAAACCAATACAGCGCTCCCAAACAGAAGATGTATGCACACATACGCGGCTTTGGACTGCATTCTGCTAGTCTTGTGGGATAAATCATAGGAGTTAAAGACAAAAAAGACCTATTAGGTCATGTATCATATTTTCCTTTTTTTGCTATTCTCATGTTAGAAATCCCAAGTGGTGGTGGGACCGCTATTATTTTCCTTCGGATGGTTTTCCATAACAAAGCACGCACTCAGGAACTTTCCACTTCAATTCCGTCCTCTTGCTCCAAGTAATACTGCTTGTATAAATACTGAGTCAGTCCCTTGCCTTGCCTCGTGTTCACACTCCTCAAACATCTGAGATACTAACATGTACTTGCCAGTTTTGGCAAATTATATGTATCTAGTTCTTTATGTTTCGTAAACCGGCACTTCTAGACCCTTGACCACTTCTCTGGCTTGCAGCTGGTTATTGCTTTTATTATTGCTCTCTTTGCAAATGCACTGTGTCACTGTGCTTTTGATAATAAGTTACTGAATACAGCAGCTCAGTTGTAGTCATACAAAACCCTGTAGCTGGGACATTTATCTTATCTTGCTGTTCTATATCTGATGCTTCAGCCTCTGTAGCCCCAAATTCTTTCCGAATGTTTTTTTCAGTTGTTGTCATAGCACATTGTCAAACTCATGTCTGTTTTGCTCCTTCTAATTTTTTTTTTAGTTTGATATACTATCACCATGAGTTCCCTGACAGCATTGCTGCTTCTTTTGCCTTGTATATGTGCTTCAGATTATTTTCCTCCAAAAATACAGATCCTACTGTCTTTAAATATGTAGTAGAAGATGGAAGGTAGAGCTAAAGTCACGAAAGGCCTTGACATTCAAGCTAGAGGACCCGGTCCTGTAGTCCTTACCTGAATAAAGCTCATCGTGACTTAAGGGAGGTTTTGCCTGAGCAGGGATTATCTATTAACTGCAGCCCTTGGTCCAGCAAGGACAACTTCTAGCTTTGGTGTAGTGATTTCATCTTCAAAGCATTCTGCAAATACTGATCTCCAAAACATCCCCAGAAGGGAAGTCTGGTAAGTAAGTAGCATTATCCCACTTCTGGATGGGGAAACTGAGGGAAGCAGGTGAAGTGACTCGCTTAGGATCGCAGAGGGAATTGGTTTTAGGGGTAGGATTAAGATTCATGAGTTCCTGGCTCCCACTCCTGTGCTCAGGCTGCTGGACAACACCTCACACTTTATAGCTGAGCTATTATTCTTTTGGAAACTATGAAGCATTTTGTCATTGGGCAAATATACATTTTATTGGCAGTGTAGAGGGCCATAATCCAAACCGTTACATTAATGCTTTCAAAAATATTTTATTTGGTAAATCCATAGCTGATCCATATGCCTTTTAATAGACTCTTCCACTGGGGACATTTTTAATGAGAGATTGCGCTGGCTAGGTCCAGTGTCAGGTACTAAAAGAAGTGCTTTGTTGTGCAGATGTCTTAAGAATAGCTCCGGAGGATGAAATATGACTGTGTTGACCTTTCAGCTGTGAGCTTATTTGTCAGGATTCAAATAAGTTGAAAGGATCAAACCAAACAGTTTCCGTAGTCAGACTGGGAATTGTGTTGCAGAGGTCAACAGTGAAGGCCACATCGCGGATTCCATAACACAGCCAATTGTTGGTACGTATTAAAGTACTGGAGCAGCTCCTGCAGTCAGAGACACAATTAAAATTCTAATTTATTAATGTATACAGAGAGCTGGCCCAGCCTGCCACTCACTGATTCAAACGACTGCCCAGTCTTTTTTTTTTTTCTCTCTTTACTCCTGGAGCTTTTGCAGTCTTAAATGTACTGGAAGTCCTCTGGAATAGAACAGACCTCCGTTACACCAGTGTGTGGCTGTGAGGAAACCACGGCCCTTGGCTTAGGGTGTTGGAGTAACACTGCACACACAGCCACCCACAGCCCCGGCACATAGCATGTGCCTCTTACTGTGCTGACAAGGCAGTCCCTGCTCTGACAGTATGCAGAATAAATAATGAGGGTGGCGGAAACGTGCCCGTTTTTTGGAAAGTTTTCTGGAATAATGAAGCAAACCATCTTTGTGCTTCGTTAATACATTGGGGCTGCTTGAGGCTGGGTCTCCCAGTAAGATGCTCCGTGGTCCTTTGGGGCCGCAGTGCTGGAGCCTGGCTTGGGGAGAGCCCCAGCCATCGCGCGCCGAGCAATTCAATGCCAGTATGCATGTTTTGTCATGTAAACCTGACTGGCACAAACAGATGTGCAGAATTAATCTGGTGAGTGCGGGGTGGCTTATCTGTTATTGTCTCGTGGATAATTTCCTGTGTTCCCTTTTCATTGGCCGATCAAATAGCCACAGAGCTTAAATGCGCGCCGGCATCGCGGGGCATTGCTGGGTCAGGGTGCCTTGAATGGCACGCACACGGCAGTGGGCTCAGCCATCGTCCTGGGGATCTGTTGACCTCGATAATGGTGCCCAGAGACCTGCTTTTAGCAAATGCTGAGATATTCTGTTATAAGGACTTGGACACGGGAGTGGAGATGTGCTCTGCTGATAGCTGAAAAAAAAAAATAAATCTCCAAATACACGATGACTCACATTTTGAGCCTATCTCACACTGCTGTGCTCTAGATTTGGCAGTGACCTCCGGTTTCGCAGCCTGATGACACTCAAAAAAAAGAAAATTGAAAGTTAAGGAATGGATTTAGTAACAGCAGTTGGGAAGAGAGTATAAGAAATACCAAAGCCACAAAAATTACTTGAAGTGAAAAAAGGCTAATGCACGGTTGATAATATATTTGCCATAATGTTAGATCTCCTTGAAACTGAGAAACAAATAATTGAGTGGGCCAGGTACACTTAGGATTTTGAGAATTTGCACCTTTTTCCTGGCCAAGATAAATATGTCTTTGTATTAATAGATATATTGATGAAAATTTGCAGCTTTAATTGCTGTGATGTTCTTAACGATTATTCATTTTGGTTCTTCAGGCATTTTAGTTGTTGGCAGGAGCACACAGGTTGGAAACAAATCAAGAGACACATTTTCTCCCGAGAAAGTAAAAGTGCATGTGTGTTTTGGCAATACTAAAAATACAATTTTTTTTAAAGACGTAAATGTTGTGTGTTGCACTGAACTGAAAGCTGGATACTGGACTAAAAACAGATTTAGGATGTCCAAGTCAGTATCTTGCAATTTAAACTCCTCACTTGACTTCTTTACCAAATGAGACTTGTTGTATGCGAGTTAACCTATGTGTGTTTGGAGAGAAGAAACAATGAAATTACTAAGATGGAAACTCCTGTTTTCAGTTGACAAAACAGAAAGTCAGTCTTTAAGTCATGGCCAAGGAAAGAATTTGTTTTAGATCTTCAGGGTGAGACTGGGGGAGGCAGAGGGGCAGGGCTGTCTTCGCCTTTGCATTCCGGTGCTTTTTAAAGCAGGCTCTTGGCCGGGCTTTTGTAGAATGTAATTTGCATGCTGTGTTATCTTCATGTTTCTTTTCGGTATCTTGAGCAATAGATGAGAGAGAGGGAAAATGGCAAGAGCAGGAGCAGGGTAATCTGTGCAGCTTGCTGTTTGGGGCAATTCATACTGTTCTTTATGAAGACAGAAATTGTTCACTTGATGACATACTGAGCACTGCAGGGTGGATGGAAAGGTGCTCTCTGTTTCACTTGGAGCACAGAAGGAATGGTTCTATAGCTTCAGCTTTTACGTGTCCTGTACCTTTTTACATAGTGGTAAATTTAGCAGCTGGCAGAGAAATTATGCCTCAGCAGATATTTTGGAAGGGGAAATACATTTGCAAGCATATTCACTGGATTTGTGTGAGTGTCTCTCTGATTCACTCTGAAACATGTGAGTTTATCTGAATTTGGCCTCGGTCAAACCAATGGAAATTCTGCCACCAACTTGTAGCAGGGTTAAGATTTCACTTCTGCAGTGCTTGAATAGATCACCCGTGAACATTTCATTTGAATCTTTTTTTTTTATTTTATTTTTTATTTTTGCTTTGGCAATAAAACAAAGTTGAGCATTGCTGGTTTCTGCTGAAGGACCGTCAGCTCTTTATTTTTCTTCCTCAGCCCAATTATAGGTGTTAGTCAATTCTTGGAATACGCCTGAGAAGTGCTAATATCACCAGCTCCACAAACGTAACAAAATCTGAGTCAGGTCCTTGAAATCACAAGATCAGCTCAAAAATGTTGATGCTGAGGGCTTTTTTCAGTGAAACCCAGGACCTTTTTTTTTGCTGTCCTTTTCCATTTTTTTAGCTTCTAGTACTTGGCCTTTCCAGCTTTCCAGCCCGAGCAGAAAGGTGACAAATGTGCTTGTTTTTCTTGAAAGAAGTCCGTGATTACCCTGTAAATAGTTGGTTGCCCAAGTCTTGGCTGTAGGAACACAACACGTGAGAGGTGGCAGCGGGATATGGAGCCAACATGGCCTCTCCCGCGGATGGAGGCTGGGATGCTTTGGGGCCCTGCGGATGCT